CTCATTAACGCACAGTGTGGGGGGACATCTGTGCATCCTTTCGACGTGCCATCTCCAGTGCTACCGAGTGCTGCCGAAGAATGCAACTGTTGCGATGGTGGAAGTCGGCCGACGACATCACTGCGAGGCCCAATAGTTATCGTATTCCAGGGCTGCAACAACAACGGTCTGGGCTACATTCTGAGCGTTGTGTTTTGGGGAGCGAGCATACTCGTGGCGCTGCTGATTGCTTTCTGCATCGTCGTTGTGATCTGCTTCACTGCCGTTGTCATCACTATGTTCCTAACTAGGCGGTAGCTCGATGGAGGGACGAAGTTTTACGTCCGAACTGTACGGGGATGTCGGTGCATCCATGCAGGACACCGGCGAGGTTCGGGTTGGAGACGTTCAGCGCCATGGACATATGCACGGGGCAGGGCATCCACCGATGACGTGGGCCGTCATGGCAGCTCATGGTTCATACACGCTTCGTTCAGAGCAGGCGGACAGAGGCAGACTGCACAACGCGACTTTCGCAGGCATGGGCACAAAGGAGTCGTTATGCGTGGGCGGTCGTGGAGGTTTCATGGGGCGAGAAACGTACATGCAAACTGCACAGGGGACATCAAACAGCACTGACAGGCTGATCCAATCCTACCAGTCGTGGGGAGGCGCATCGACGGACGTTGTCGGTTCTTGGGCTGCTGCCGGGGAGTACGAAGACGTGGCACACACGCAGCGAACGACTGCGATACCGCCACCACAGGCAAGGCATGCGCAAAGGTCGGCCACAGCGGGGCAGACACCTGTGCCTGATCGTGCCCCGCGACCACATGTGGCAAGGAGGGGGGGGGGGGGGGGGGGGGCTGTACATGACACCTGGTGTTGCAGTTCCGGGCGGGGTGAGTGCCCGGTAATCGCCGACACATCAGCAACGACAGCAAAGGGCAGCGATGGGCGAAGACCGGGGCTCAAGGGTGGCTACCGTAATACGGGAATATGGATCCCCGGCGGGGAGGACGGAAGGTAGACAGGCAGGGAGTGCCAATGGCATGAGGGACATGGCCGGTGATTGTTCGCCCAACATGGCGGGTGTGAGTTCGGATGGCGCGGGCGAAGGGTTGGCGGCAGGCTTGGATGAGGAGAACTCCGACTGCGATGGTGATGACGGAGCGGCAGCCGATTCGTCGACGAACCCGGGTGGAGGTGCGCATGGTCGGACCACCGCGAGACCAGCATGTGGTACCCGGAAAAAGGGGGGGAAGTCTACGACCCAACCCAAGAAGAACAACCTATGGACTCTGGAAGAGTGAATAGCCCTGGCGAGGATCAGCGGCGAGGATGACGCCCTCATGGCCGATGCGGAGGGCGCTCATCAGAACATGACAAGGACAAGGAGATATGAGTGGATCGCGGCGAGGACAGGGGAGGATTGTAGGAAGAAGCGGGCAGAGTTCCAGAAGAAGGTGAGGGAGATTCGTGACGCCTGCAGTAGCTCCGGCAAGCCGGGGTACTTCGACATCACTACGGAGGAGAGGAAGACATTGGGGATACCCCTAACGTTTGAGAAACCGTTGTGGGACGCCATGGAGTGGTACCGAAAGAAGGCTGCCTTCAATTGCGACAATACGATGGCGTCGGAGGACTTGAGGGGCACTGGATCGAGAGGATCAGCAAGCGAGGCAGGCTCCGAAGGTGGGGGGACAGAACAAACCGGGAGTGCAGCGAAGACAAGGCGGACCGCAACTGGAAAAGTTCGGGGAGGTGAGTCATCGTCCAACATGTTCGGCATGGCTTCGGTGATGGAGGAATCCACGCGGTCTCTCTGCTAGGGCCTGGACAAGGCTGCCGGGAACATGGCACGTGCCACGACAGAAGGTGCTGCGCTCACGGCAGCGAAGATGGTAGATATGGCGACAGAGATCAGGGTTGTGGCAGGGGCGATGCGGCAAGGGAATAGTGTGTTGGAGATGCTGGTCGGGGTGATGGCAGGTAGAGGGGCAGGGACTGGGCGGGTGGCCGGCGACAGTCAGGACACAGACCCATCGACGAAGTAGGGCATTGCGGGTCGTCGATTTCCAACCCATCGTTAACCGCCCCTGTTTTTCCGGAATGTGGTACCTTGAAACCCATTCCTGGCATCGGGACAGTTTTTTTCGAATGGCCCGGGATGGGGGATGTGGCACGAGTGCCTGTGTCGGGCCCGTTATTCCGAGGGCAGCTGGCACCCGCGCGCTTCTATATAAAGCGCATTCGCAGTCCATTTCCGTAGGGGAGAAGGTTTATCACCACGCTCGTGTGTCGGAGATTCCTGCGTTGCTGCTCCCAATGGGGGGAGAGAGAGAGAGAGAGAGACAGAGAGATATGCAACTCGCATGGAGGGAGATTGTGCGTGGCGAGGCGATCATGTATTGGGAAGAGCGTCGGCGGCGGGACGGGTGCTTTCATCACGACCCCCCGTTCGGGAACGAGATCACTCGTCGGTCGTACCGTTTCTATTCGGTCGACGTCAGTGGGCAGGTCGTTGTTGACATCGACGCCGCCTTGGGCTTCAGCAACCGTCTCCTCTCCCATGTCGTGTTGTATGTGAAGAAGACTGGACCCATCGTTCCGGACGATTGGACGCACCTGCAGGTAGACATCGTCGAGAACCTCATCCAGAACTTGGCGATAGAGTACGCTTCGCGGTTGGATAACGCAGCGTTTTACTACACGTTCCTCGAGAAGCCGCTCGTCGGTCGCGGGTACCTTCACAACGAGGTCCGTGCATAACTTCGGGTGCGTGTTCTGATTGTCGTCATCTTTGCCAGAGGAAGGTGGAGATGGATCGAGGTTTTGCTTTGTGGTCGGAGAGGCGAGAGAGATTAGGGATTTTGGTGCATGGATGGCTTTTTCAATTTTGCAAGGGCGGGTACGTACTTCCTGGAGTGGCGGAACGTTACAGTGTGTCCCTACGCACAATCGTGGGGGAGAAGGTTTATCACCCCCTTCGCTTTTGTGCAACAAAGATTTGGATGGGGTCATCTGCCTTGTCTGTGCACGGTCGATGGGTGGCAATGGACTGTGAAGACGAGTGGGCGGTGAATTAGTGAGCGCGGTTCGGATAACGGAGCGTAGGGGATGTGTCACACCCTGTCGGCGTGTCAGTTTGTTGGGTGTTCCGTGTCCACGTGTCCAATCGCGATTGGAGGACGTAGTGGTGTGATACTGTTCTCTCGCCGGTGTCACGAATGTGACAGTTGTATTGTTGTTTTCATTGAATGGAATACATGCTCGGCCGTGGGCCGCCGGTTCAACACCATTTGTGACTGGATGTCTGTATGTGTGCGTTGCAGCAGGAGAGCTACTCCCTTCACATGAATTTTGTTAATCCCGAACTCACATTTGTCGATCGATGCGTGCATGTGTTTTATGTTGTTTGTTGTTGGAGTTCGTCGATCACACATGCATTTGTTGTACTCTATTTTATTTTTCGTTATTAATCGATTATTCCTTTATTCTTTGTATTATATTCTATTACTTTATTTCATTTCCAATTCCACATCACTTATGATCTGTATATGCATATCGATAAACTGTTGGGAGAGAGAGAGAGAGAGAGGTGGCACCCAGGCACACGCACACACACACACGCACACACACACACACACACACACACACACACACACACACACACACACGCACGCACACACACGGACGCACACACTCGGACACACAAACACACAAACACACACCGCACATGTGTGCGCACGTGTGCGGGTGTGTGCTTGCGTGTACCCGTGTGTGCGTCCATGTGTGTGCGTGTGTGTGTGTGTGTGTGTGTGTGTGTGTGTGTGTGTGTGTGTGTGTGTCGCATTTCTCTCTCTATGTATTCAGTTCTTTATTTTGTGTATTTCATTGAATCTATTGTGTTTATTCTGTGCAGTTCATTGAATCTTTTCCGTTTATTCGGTTTCCATTGAATTTAATTTGTGTATTCTGTGTACTCCTTGAATCTATTCTACTGTTTCATTTCATATTCCATCACACATCAATATATGCATATCGATAAACGGGAGAGAGAGAGAGAGAGAGAGACATGAGTACATGCCCAAAACTACCCGTACACCAACCGCGATTGGAGTAGCCATGTAAATGGCAAAATCGAACTCGGACAGCACGAAAAAAGGCGAGGGAAAAAAGCCGACGAATTCCAAAAATTTATAATAACAAAAAACACTTGATATGAAAAACACTACGAATTTACAAAATGTCACATCCGCCAGGGGTTCGGTCTAGGAGCGCCGTGCACACGAGTGTGATGCCACACATGTCCGATGAGGCTTTCCCTCAACTCCTTGCCAAGCTCTAAAGCAGACGCGGCGTCCTCCTCTGGAGGAGAAGGATGTCGTGCGGGTCTTGCGTGCCTCACACGTCGCCGACGACGACGACAGACCAAGTTTGGACAGTCAGTGTCACTCTCATCAGATAGTAGATCGGGGTCGACCTCGACCCTCGAATTCACCATGATGTTGTGCAGGATGCAGATGGCGAAAAACTCTTTGAGGAGCATTCGCAAATTGCAAATCTGCCTCCTGATGAAGTGTCGCCACACGGCCTTCAATCGACCGAAAGTTCGCTCGATGCAGGACCTTGCCGACGTGTGACAATCGTCGTAAACCTGCTCCGCAGGTGTCCGCCCTGTCCCACCGATGGGAGTCATCAGCCATGGCAAGTTCGGGTATCCTGCATCCGCCAGTAGATACCTGCCGATCGCACGGCCATCACGCAGCACCTCCCCACCCGTCCCAAACACCCCACTCTGCTGTTACGCCTCACGATACAAAGGAGACGTACGGAGCACACACCTATCGTGGACGAACACCGGGCAACCAACATACACACTGACAATTCGACACTCGTGGTCCCACACGACCTGCGCGACTATGGAGAATTGACCATTCCTGTCGTAGTAGCACTCTCCACGTTCGTTCCTGGGTTTTTCGATGTACACGTTTGTGCAGTCGATTGCTCCTACACACCTAGTGAAACCCTTCCTCTCGAACCCGTCCAAACTCTCTTGCAGCTTGTCACCTGTGGGAAATTGCAGCAAATGCCCATACTCGGTGATGAGCGCATCCGCGACATCCTCATTGCTCCTGAGGGCACTCGCCAAACCCATCCCCAAACCATGCGTTGTCTGCCTGTAGAAACCGCCAGTCACCCACCTGATGAGCGCGCATGCGAACTTCTGCCCTGCAGGCGCCGGTTGTCGCCAATTCGTTGCTTGCCGCTGGATATGTGGGCCGATGCGATAGAGGATATCGTTGAACAAAGGCCTAGGCAGTCTGCAAAAGCGCTGGAAAACTTTCTCATGGCTGCCTCCCACCTTCTGCAGGTCGTCCCACACTCCTGCACTGCGTGCCAACACCCAGATCCATCGCCGGCTGTCCATCTGTCTCTCGAATGCAGTGGCCACCAAACATGTCAACGACATGCTGTGCAACAGAGCGCCTGTGAGAAGGAAGAGGGCGGAACACACGGCAGGCACATCTCCCGGCAATGCAGCGGCTGCCTGCAGCACGGCCATGGCGGCGACGTTCCTCCGGTTCATCCACTGCAGCAGGATGAAAACAAGCAGGAACGTCGAGTCGTCCCAGTCGCTCCCAGCACCAGCCATGGCTGCCTACTCCGCACGAATCGCAGGTTCGTCGAACAGTGCGAAAGAACACAGAATGCACAACCGAGTTCACACAGCAGGGAATCCGCTCATGAGGTCGACACGCTATGGACGTCAGCGGACGAGAAGCAAATACCAGGAAGCGAAGACTCCGCCTCCAGGTGGGGGAGGGGTGAGAAGGGGGCTCTCGAACGTTGGGGATGGCGCTGGCACAGACACCGCGTCCGCAGTCCGCCCCAACGGTCACATTGCGGGTTTGTGGCAACCGGGACTGGTACCACGGGCACAGACTCCACCCACCCCCAACGAATGCAGCGGCGCCGTCGATTCCCGACTCGCTGATCGCCGATCACCCAAACGCCGCCCAGAGTCGCCCTGTGTCGGACCGTGCTGGTTCCTACGCTCCACGGCCGGTCACTAGAACAAACCAGCACTTTCCATTTCGGGATGCTTGGCGGCCACGTTTCCTATTACGGTAAACTTTCTCAACAATTTGCCGCAAAACTCCCTCCGATGTGGGGTCCCCGCAAAAAGGTTTCCAGACTTTCCAAAACTCTTCCGACGACGGTTCTGCGGAAACGTCTTTTCCAAAGGAATTCCTGTGGGGTCCAGGCCTTGGGCACTCTCCCACCAGATGGACCAGAAGGTTGGATTCAAAAGTCGCCACCCACGCACACAAATTCACAACGAGAGGACACTCCACGTGACTCAAGTAACATGCTCTGTCCTCGCGATAAGAAGAGGGGGTATATAAGGTTAGGGACAGAGGACGATGTTCCCCCCAACTACAGATTATTCACCATCTTATGATGCTGTGTGTGATGACTGATCATGGCCAAGTACCACCTCAAGCAGCAACAAGCACCAATAGGTCCAATACACTCTCATCGCAATGCCACGTAATCCGTACTGCTTCTACTTATGTGCTCTCTATCCAGAGCAGGAGATCACTAACCAGCCACCGCAAAAGTCAACACTGCCAACGACACTTCCCAATACCACCGACACCATCACCCCTGACTCGCCAGCTTCAAGATGTGCTAGTCAGGGAACACAATCTGATCCCAAACTGCAAGTAACCAATCACTGGGGAGACAAATTATCCAAGCAGCAAAAGACTCGAAGCAGAATATGCATATATTATCACATATCTATGAACTAAAAGAGTGCACTTTGCAAAACAAACGGTTTAAAAAAAAGAAAAAGAAAAACAGAGACCAGCATGAAGGGCACACTGAAACCATTCATCTTTCTCATTCTTCCTTGGACTTCCCCTTCACCATGCCTCTCGGGTACAAGGCTCGCCGCATGATGGATTTGAGCACGAGCTGTCCACATCCCCGTGTGCCATAACGGCCCAATTGTACGCTGTGAGAAAGGGGCCATGCCTCTCGGGTACAAGGCTCGCCGCATGATAGATTTGCGCACGAGCTGTCCACATCCCCGTGTGCCATAACGGCCCAGTTGTACGCGGTGAGAAAGAGGCAGAGTAAGGGGGGAGGAGATAAACACAGGGAAGAGAGATGCAGAGATGACAAACAAAGAACGGCAAAGGGAAAGCAAGGGAAATCAAGGGAAAGCAAGGGAAAGCAAGGGAAAGTACGGAGTGTGGAATGAAGATGCAGGCAGAGGAGAGGATAAGAAAAGGCTCAAGAACGAGTTTGTCCTTGATGACAGAGAGGAAATACAACGTAAGGATTTAAGGGGGGTGCACACATGGAAGACCTAGGTGAGCAATCCCACTACAACAATTGCCGCGACGGATGCCATTGAGCATGCCCACCATACAGTCCGTACAAATGGTAGAATATACATATTTGAGCAATGTCAAATGCGGAATTGCAAAGTTGAGACCACACCAAAATGAGACTCGTCAATACAACAACACCGTAGCCACTCTACTATGATGTGACCACCTACACTGCTCTTGTACAGCCTCTCTCTCTCTCTCTCTCTCTCTCTCTCTCTCTCTCTCTCTCTCTCTCCACATTCCAACCCTGCCATGTCATCACCTGCTCACCACCTTGTTTTATTTTGTGCTGTCATGTCACAATCATCGCAATCATGAAATATCATGGTGCAGATAACTGTTCAAAGCGACTTGCATAGCCGTGTAAAGGCATTTAATAATTAGGTCCCTGGTGCAGGCGGGTAATGATGTTCTCGTGGGGGTGGGCAGGTCAAGGTGAAGTTTTTCTTAAGGTGCTGGGAAGGTCAGGCGTGGGAGCAAAATTTTAGAAAATGCTTGGGTGAGCTGGGTCACACTGAGACAAACTTTCTTTTTTGGGCAAGGGCGGCCTGTACCAGAAAAAAATTGGACCGGTCAGATCAGATTAGCAACATAAAAAGACAATGCTAATCTCTGCCCTCTACCCGAGCGACTACCTACGCCCCCCTCCCTCGTTACTCTTACCCATACACGCTTTCTGCACAATGACTCAGAACCGACTTCTCAGCTGCCGTCTAGTTCAAACAGCAGCCCAGCCGGGTATTCTGCCTGGCTGATTCTTCCTCCCCTCCCCTCACTGTGACCCTCCGTTCCCCTTGGGCTCCGCTCTGCCAACCACCAGCCCTAGTCCTTCCTCCTATCGTCCCCCCCCTCCCACTTTCAACCCCCCGTTCTGTCTCCCCACCTTCCCCTTCGAAATCTTCTGCTCACTTGGGGCATCCGATCAAGCAAGTGCTCCACCCATAGAAATTTTCAAAACACGGTCTTGTTGTTTCAGGCGTGATTCTGGGGGCGTTCAGGACGAGGTGGACGCTCAGCTACGCCAGGGGTACTGTGCGCAAAGGATTGGGATCCCCTCTCAATCCTTGACTGGTAAGTGTTTGCCCACCACATGTTCTCTTGGACAGTCGGTCCCCTTGTGGAGACTAGCAATAAATGCCGCCCAAGATATTTCAACAAAATATCGTGGTCATATGGGACACCGGACCTGGTTTCCAACAGGTGATGCTCCCTACCAATAGATTGCAGCCGTCAGTAATTGGTTGGGTCTCGCTTTTGGAGGATCCTCTTATCACCTTCAAAAGTTGGCCCACCTGTGATGTTAAAAAAAAAAAAACAAGAAAAAGAAGAATGGCAACAAGGAGGAGACCTGAAAAATAGATAAAAACTGATGACTGTGAGATGGCTGTTCATGAAGTGACGGCAATCGCATAATTTATTGACATGTGGGGCAGAGCACCATCAAGTAAGATTCCTCCAGGGGTCATCTTCCCCGCTTCACGTTTACTGTACACACAGAGACTTTTATTCACAAAGGATATCAATCCCTTCCATGCTGGAAGTTGTGTTTCTGAAGGGTGGAACCTACTACCAAATCAACAAGAAACGCGAAGCGCAACCCAAACACTCTTTACGTGTCCTCACAAAGATTGACGGTGACTTCCGTAATAATTTTTATCGATACCTGGGACAATTCGGCTGTGAAGATGGGTAGAAATGCACTGAATTTGAGAAATTCCGGGGGGTTAAATGTGTGTCGTTGGGCAGGACGTGCACTGGTGGAGGCAACAGTGGGTCGAGAAGTCGCCCGCTGGGTGGGACTTGCGGTGGTGGTCGCACTTGGCCGTACAGCCATGGTTGCATTCCAATCGTATCGCAGTCTCTAACCACTCCATGGTCCTGAACCTGACCAGGTATGCGAAGGCTCATCTGACCATAGCCTTCACCCAGAGAATGCATCGGAACAGGTGGTGGCCTATGTAGCAACCCCCTGCCTTGACCTCTACTCACCATCCCATTCTCCATGAACGGAGGTGCAAGGGCAGGCTCCCTTCCGCCAGGTGCCACCATGCCACTGGCAAATTGTTCAGCCTCATACCTGGCACCAATAGCTTGCCTGTTGCATGCGGATATAGTGCCTGGCCTAACATGCGGTGAAACAAGCTGGTGATGCATGTAAGAGCAAAAGGGAACCGATGGCCCTCCTCTCCCTCGGTGAGCATCAGTTTGCTGGGCGGGCCGCTGCTGAACCCTGGAACTGTACCCTCCCCCCCTCTGTGACAATGGCTCCATTGTATGTTCCATTTTCCGCCGCTTGGCAGCGTCCACGCAGAGCGGACCCGCCACTGCCGACCTTTTGTTGGAAGGGCGACCGGCGACCTGCCTGTCCTTCTCTTTCCCCTTCTCTGCCATTTGCAAGGTGTGCTGAGAAGGCCGTGAACTGGTAGCCTCGCTGTGACCTCCTTGTTGCCCACAGACCGCAGGAGCACACGCTTCCTTGCAAGCAGTGGGTACCTTACCTCTGCCCCGTGCAGTTTTCCTTTGAGCTCTCTCCGAAACTTTCAGGACACCAGACTCGCCACGCTGTGCTCTCGACTTCGACTTCTTGCCCCCAGATTTCAGGTGCTTGCTGCGAGATTTATTTACAGCTTTCATGCATGTGGCAACATCCCTTTGCCTCATCTTGCCCTCGCGAACTGCTTGTCGCATCGAGCGTGCCATGCCCCCTCTGGCATGCTTCTCATCAAGAACTCTCTGCCTCTCTTGTTCGTCTTCCCAGAGCTGTCGCCGTACGCCAGATCGGTACAGTACCCGCCCTTTAATTAGCAGCTGCTTCATCAATGGCAGGGTGGTGCCCTTGACAGAAGTGGTCCACAGCACCTCCACCGTGAAGGTGTGTTGCTGCTTCTCGGTACCATAACTTTCGTTCACAACCTTTCCAACGACTAGTCGTGTGCCGATACACCTACGACCCTCCTTTACCTTTTGTACAAAACGAATAATGTCGCCTCTGCAAACATCGTTTTTGCAGTGAATCACGAAAGACGACAGAGGGTAACACCGTGAGCGTGCAACCCCTGGGGTATTGAGATGAAAATGTTCCTTGACTCTTGCCAGGAGATCGTCCTTCGTACCTGACAAGCGAAGCCTGAAGTTTCGTAAATATGCCTTGCAATGATCCAGACTCAAGTTCGCCCAATCAGATGCCTGCATGAGTGTCAGTGCGTCGTCAAGAAGGTTCCCCTTCCCTTTTTCAGTGTGACATGCCTTTAGCTTGGCCGGTCTTTCTCTTTTCAGCATGACAGCAGAATCCTGCTCTGAGTCATCAGCGCCGCTAATGTCACTGCTGTCGTCACCATCATAACTTGAATCAGTATCATTCCCATCACTGTTCTCGCCATCCCAATCTGAGGCAGACGATGAAGAAGAAGGTGAATCTTGAGACTCTGAAGAACTGGAACTTATCACGATCGGCTGCTCCATTCTCACTGTCAAGGAGAGAGCAGCAACATGGCTTGCATTGCCACGCTTACTTCTCCTGGCCTCATCCAACACATATCCCCCTTCGCATACAGGTTGCTGGACAGGCAACTTGGATTTCTGTGGAGAGCACTGTGGATACCACCTGGTTCAACCCCCCGCCCCCATGATCAGCCTGGGGCCATATACGAGCTTTCCAAATGGCATCACAATTCCCTTGTGATAATGCTGATGAGTAAGTTTCTCATGCGGTACATCCATGAAATCCAAGTGAGTGGCTTTGCATTTCCCTCATGGCATACCGGCAGCAACAGGAGCTGACCGTCTCACTCCACTGCCAAATGCATTAGCCACCCATTGCAGAGGAGAAAAAGATAGAACCATATATTGCAACAATACATCGAAGTACCAATCAGTCTACAATATCATTCTGTGGGTGAAAAGACAGATGCAAGGAAAATGAGCGAGGGTGAATGACAGAAATCCAAACTGCATCATCACATTGAAAACCAGATAGTCGTGCAAGGCACAGAAAGTGCACCAAGTACACACCAAATAAGAGCAAAGCAGTGCATTCGATTGTCAATGTCAGCCCCTTGTCTCGCCACCATCAATAAAGTATCCAATGCCGCTCTTCCAACTGGCGCCTGGCGCCCAACCACATACTCACCAATCCTGGCCTACACGATGACGATGCAACCAGAAGAACTTCAGCAGCAGAACTGATGCAGATGAAGATGTCGCCCATGAAGACCTCCACGACAAACCAGGTACCACCTCCTCTCTCCCAAGCCCACTCCCTGTTTGCCCCTTCACAAGCTTACCACCACGACCAAGGACCACCTTCCAACCCCACCAACCACCTGTGATACCAGCCCGGCTATGGCTGCCTCACACATAAGCTCTGCCCAGCGGCCCAGCGCCCTGCGCCCGTGTGCGCCTGTACCAGCCAGCCACCAGCACCATGTGAATCTGCAACCAGGCAGCACTCACACATAGCCTCCAGCCAGCAAATGTCTAGACTGGAGGCTGGCACTTTCTTTTGTAGAAAGTGTCTGGCCTCGTGAGACTGCCTGGCTGCACGTGTGGTTCCCAGTAGCTTCGCGCCAGCCCCAGTATCTACGCCCAGGCCCTGATTCAGATAGCAGCCTGAGACCGAATTGGTTAGAAACGCCCAACTGTGCAACATGGCTCTCGCTGGTTGCAGCTTCGCCATTGGCCTAGAGGCCGACTGCAACATGGAGGCCAACGAGAACTTGGCCTAAAATTGCAGGGCTCGGTCGCACATCCCCATGTTGTTGCAGACCGCAGCTAGGTCAACCAGGCTGAAGGAAAAAGGGTCCCACGACAATTTTCAGGCCTGCATTTTGACAGGGCGGGTGCAGCTAGGCTTTAGGCCTCAGCTTCGATAGTCCTCTGAAATTGTGCTACTGAACATTATCCTTTCCCTTGATTCTTCTCTCATACTGGGACACAATCTGAGGTGCTGTCTCCATAAGCTCCTCACTTGTAAACCACCTCTTCTTTCCGATCTGATGCCTGAATCAGACCAGGAACTGTCTTTGGGGTTTCCGCGGCCTCCCTCTGCCAACAGGTCTCGAAACATGCATGTCTTTGGGCTCCACGATTTCATCAATGTCCACTTGTCCATCCATTGTTGGGGGAAGCATAGACTGTCTCGAAGGGAATTGGTCTGTCTCAACGAACGGTGCAAGCTTGGAGGCATGGAAAACAGGTGAGGTGCAGACACGTCGAGGGGTACAAATAACATAGGAGGGACCATCGGATCATTCCCCAAAATATCCAGAACTTCCCAAGGCCCAAAGTACTGTGGATTTAATTTTCCATAAATATCTAGCTCCCATCCCAGTTCCTCCAACCTGAAAGTTAGATGGCCTTCTACGCTGGTTCTCGGATGCAATCATTGCATCCTGAGACTTGTGAATCTGCTCAACAGCCTGCAGCAGCATCTTACCATACTGAACAGCAAATTCAATGATGCCAGGTGTTGTTGTGGGTTGATTTTTAGGTAAGAGGAAGGACCAACCTAGGCCTCCAACCAAGATGTAGCTGGTTGGGGGACATGTCGGTCATGCTGCCTACAGCATTATTGTACAGTCTGGCAATGAGGGGCAACTTCTCATCCCAGTCATCCTGGCTAAGCTTGATGTCGAGCCGGAGAAAGTGCTGCACCACACGGTTTATCTATTGGCTTCAGGATGATTACCTGAAGTCATCTGCAGCCGGCAACCCATCTGCTCAGCCAATTTCTCCCGCAGTGCACTAGCGAACTGGACATCTCTTTCGCTCACAATAGACCTTGGCAAGCAAAAGTCAAGTACCGAGCTATCCATGAAGGCTTTGATCATGTGCCCCGTTTCAGCAGTCTCAGGCATGGAAACTAACCTAGCATACTTTGAGAACCTGTCCACTATGACAAAGATATGCCTCTTTCCATTCTTGCTGGTCACGAGGGTGTCCATACAGTCCATGGACAGACTATGTCTGGAACCAGCGGGAATACGCCAAGGCTTTATTGGAGATGCTTGGGTCCTTGGTTTGTCATGCTGACAAAACCTGGCAAGTCTCCACATAGCGCTTAGCATCCTCTAACGTAGTGGGCAACCAGAATCTTTACACTAGGTTTGCAGAATTCTTCTTATAGCCAGAGTCCGGTTGCACCACGACACTCTCATAGAATAAACTACGCAAAGATTCTCTATATGCAACGCATAGTCTTTAAATCCCAGCCTTTTCACAGAACAACAACCCGTCCACCAGCACAAAAATCATCAGAAGTGGTTGCCTTTGGCCTCAAGCTTGCACATGATGTCCATCAGGAGTGTCTTCCTTCTAGGCTTCCACCCTAGATCGAGTGAGATCGTAAAAAAGCCCAAACTCCGTGAGCAGCGCGCGCAAATAATCAGCCCTGCGGGAGCATCAATGACTTCAATCCACCTCTTGAGTGCATCTGAAAATGTAGGTTGCGTCTTGATCCAACGGAAGAATCTGCCCAAGAGTGTCAAGGCTTTGTGGAGGGCGTACAATTCACGCTCATATGTGGACTTGGCCAACTTCTAGGAGGGCATCTTCTTACTCATATACTCGATCAGCCTCAACTTCTTCCCCTCTTGCTGCTGGAAAAAAATGTCAAACTGGTTTGCATCACCGGTAACTGTAAACGGCTTCCGGATGCCTTTCTGATGCGTCAGAGCATACTTCAACCGCTTGAAAGCTCTTTCGCAAACGTTAGTCCATTCCCAAGGGGTGTCAAGGGGTGTGAGATCCTTCAAGGGGGCTGCAACTAAGCTATAATTCTTTACAAATCGGTGGTAATAACTTGTCATCCCCAAGAAGGATTTCACCTCAATCAAAGATGGAGGTTGTGGCCAATCCCTAACACTAGCCACCTTCGCATCTTTGGGCCTAAGACCATCCACGGATATCTCATGACCCAAGTGTTAGATCTTCGTGTGACCAAACTGGAATTTTTCCAAGTTTATCCTATACTAGTGTTGTTGAGTGAGACCAAGCACAATATCAACGTGCTGCGCGTGCTCCTTGACGATTTCACTAAAACTAAGTATGTCGCTGAGGTACACAACGATAATCTTATCTAAGTAATCGTGAAATATTCAATTCATGGCGTGTTGGCATGTTCTCGATACATTGCACAAGCCAAAAGGCATCGTCATAAACTCGTACAAGCCGTTCCGGGTTTGAAAAGCAGTTTTGTGTTGATCCTCGGCCTAATAGCAATCTGATGGTAGTCGAACTTTGAATCTATCTTAGTACAGTACCTACATTCCTGCACTTTCTCCCATAGGTCCTCAATGCGGGTTAAACCCTCAGCGTTTTTAACTGTGATGGCATTGAGGCCTATATAATAAGTGCACACACTTAGAGAGCCCCCTTTCTTCAGCACAAATAAAACTGGTGCGCCGTAGGGAGGTGTACTAGGCTGGACCCAACCCTTTTCCATCACCTCTTTTAGTTTGCAGCGCGGTTCATCCAATTGTGCAGGGGCTATACTATAGATCCTTTCCTTTGGCACTTCACTTTCGGGAATGATCTCTATAGTGTGGATAAGCTACCTTTGTACTGCCCATGTATGCTTTTGGAAAAGGTCGGAATATTTGACGATGATTTTTTTAATTTTGGGGGCTGTTTTAATAGCCTCCCTTTCTAAGGGACAAAGACTAGATACATACGCTCCTCTCGGTTTTTCTTTTAGTAATTGTAGAACAATTGCGAAGACATGCAGCCATTAGTGTCCACTAACTTGCTAGCACTCCACTTCGCCACGCAACGGTCCTCTCACTTGGCAACTCATGTAGCGGCAATTTCCGGTCCCAATCAAACTGGGGTTTGGCAACCTCGAGGTAGCACACACCTAATAGCATGTTGAAGGGCAAATCATTGCTGACCAGGAACAAAATCGTATGATGTAGTTCCCTTACTCCATAGAAGAAGGTGCAGACTACGTCCTTAACATAGTCCTAAACAACTATGCGTTGCCTGATGGCTAAGGTAGACTCTATAGATCAACTCAGCCTCTGCAATTGATCCTCTAAGCGCAGCCTCTCCACACAAGTGCAACTAACGAAGTTCCTAGTAGAGTTTATGTTTGCGAAGGAGACACACTTACAGCCACCTACATTGACAACTCAACTACGAAGTGTTCTCCTTCAGAACTTTTGGACATCGCCACCCACGACTCCCTAGGGTCTTTGTATGACCACTTTCTTTCAAGTTCCTCTAAGTCTACAAACACATCCAATGAACAGAGCATCACGTCATCATCTCTCTATGAGGTGACTAAAGAGTCGATACCCTCGACCATCTCCTGAAACGGTGAGGGATCATCTACCACTCCAGCCCGATTAGAAGCAGCTACAACTTCTACTGGCCTAAGATGTTCCCTGGGAGCTACTCACAAAAGTGCTCAACTGGGATGAAGATACAACAGGCCCAAACCTGGGTGGTATCTTTGTGATGACCTTCTTGTTCCTGCACCGCGCAATGCTATGACCATACTAGCCACAATTAATGCAGACGCCTTGAACATCACGGTCTCTCCACA